TATACCGGCATAAGGCGCATGGGCTACATTCAATTAAAAAGCATTGAAAAAAGATCAAAAATCATGAAAAACTAGAAGATATGTTTAAAAAGAAAGCATATATAAAAATAAGAGTCTAAAAGAAGGTTCAGGAGCATTCGATTGGTGTAAGGGAGCATTAAGGTTAGTATGTGGAAGACTATATCAAATTACAGAGCACTCTAGTACCCAATTGTACTTATGAAACATTAACGCTGCAATCCTACAGCTACTGATTTGAGAATACATTCCACTGAACTAAATGGGGATCAATACTGAGTAAACATGGATTTATTTTATTTGTCTGGTAAGGCATTAGCCAAAAACTATCATCTGAAGTATTTTTAGATAAAGATGAAGTCTCCAGTTGAATTCAACTCCTGGTGTCTTCATGGATTATCTATGTAGTTTTCTAGGCAGCAGCGAGGAAGCAGTTTGTCATTAACTTCTTCATGAGTTTAACATTTTTTAAAAAATGTTCCAATCTGCTTTACAGTCCTAGCAATTGCCTAGTAGTCTCCCACCCAAGTCCTAATTAATACTGCTTAATTTATTCTAGGTGTGGGGAGGTAGACCCCAGCCAAGATTGGCTGACTATGTACTTATCTTTCTTTATAACAGCAGGGCCTTATTTCTTTCCCAGTGTAGTCTGTGTTGTGATTTTCCCCATTGATTGAGGCAGCTCATGGGGACAGGGCAACAATGCAATGCACAGCTAGCACAATTGATTATTAATCTGGAGTGTACCCTTCCTTGGATGAGGCCTGTTTGTGTCAAAAGTCCCAGACAAATATACCCAACATGCTTTCCTCATAACATAGTTGAACTGTTAAATATGTGAACAACTATGTTCTCCATGCTAAAGGCAACTCTTTTTAAGTGTTGTTTTCAGTTAAACGGGCTTTTATGCCATTGGGATTAATATGTTGCAATATCTGATGAGATCTTTAAAAATATTATAGAATAGAATAGAAAATAATAGAATTGGGAGGGACCTTGGAAGTCTTTTAGTCCAACCTCCTGCTCAAGCAGGAGGACCTATACCATTCTAGACAAATGACTGTCCAATCTCTTCTTAGAAACCCAAGTGATGGAGGATTAAAACCAACCATTTTTTTCTCAAACTGATTGAGTATTAAATGTTTCCACTTCCCGCCCCCAGGCAAAGCAAAGGAAGCTTTCAAACTAAGTGCAGATTTGTTGTAGGATTATGCCTCTAGTGCTCTAAACAAAGTAGAAGAAACAATAGGTAGCACCTTTAAGCTACCTCAGTTTTAGTGAGAAATCAGCAGAATAAGGAAATATTTTGCTCTGCTTTTTTCAGGTGCAAATTATGAAAAGAAATCTGAAATATTGGAATGGGAAACCTGCCTTTAACAATCAACCTATGGGAAGGAATATGTGCACAGAGAACTCATTTGGGGACATTATGAGAAAGTTAAACTTGTGTATTTCATGGTCCTCTCCATTTCTGGAAGGCAAAAAACCCCTTCCACTTCCTCTTCTTTATCTAGGTATCATTTGGCCTGTGACACCTTCCCCCAGACATTGACCAAATATGCAACAAATGTCAATACATTTTAAAGAAAAGCTTGACAAAATTGCTTATGTAAGTTTGTATTCTAGAGTTTGAGTTTCAGCCAAAATTAAATAAGTTAAACAGTATTCATTCGTTTCACCAAAATAGTTTTAATATGGGTTTAACACTCTTCTGAGGCGTCTTAAAATATTGGGGGGGGGGGTGTTCCTGCTCCTCATCCTCAAAAGAACTTAACTCTTGACTTGAGCTCTGTATCGTTAAGAACCCTGAGAAAAATAGGCCTAAATATATTGTTGTGGTGCATTTTTAAACAATAGAAACACCCCTGTCTAGGCTGTGCCACTTCAAACTGTAACAGTGAGAGAAAGCTCCCTTCCACATCAAAAGACTCTGACTCTCGGAAACGGAAACGGCACATCTTCTCCTGCCGGCTTTTCTTTTCGCCCACATGTTTTCCTCAGTCAAACGGATCAGTCAAGTGAGTCCCATCTGCAGTCTGAAATACTGTTGGCCAAACAATAGTTGCAGTCTAGGGTTGTTGGGATGTTGCAGAAAAGTTGTTTTAGTCAGAAAACGCCAACAGTTTATGGGTGAAACCCAATGAGGACCTGCATTCTAGGCGCCTCAGGCTGATTCGCCCCATTAGCTGGTCAGCCATTTTTTTTTTTAGCCGCGCACCTGGGCCCCCCGGGAATTCGGGCTGGGGGGGTGTGATTGGAGAGCGCGCGCGAAAGGGGGAACGCGCGCGCTTGTTTTCCACGCGCCTAGCTCCCTCTCGGCCATTTTAGTGCCACCAACTCTTCCTATTTGGGGCCCTGCTCCTTTTCTATGAAATACCGTGAAGTATTAATATTCAGAGAGTTATCTTAAGCGTGGGGGGGAGGAAGCTACTTCTTCACTTTTGCATAAGCGGAGGTAAATTACAGTATTTGGCTTGCTTTCAGAACGGAACGCGGCGCTTGCAGGGCGGCCTGACCTCCGCACCTCTCGTCTTGCAAGCTGAGCACTCTCTCGCCTCTCACGACCGCCAGCAGCGTGGGCATTGCCTTGGCAGAGTTTTCCCTAACCCAAGAGCTGTGACCTTACGGTGGGTCCTTGGTATCATCAGCGCTAGGTCTCCCCGCTTCGTTATCACTCAAGATTACTCCTTGGAATTCGGGAAGGAACTCATCTTCTTTGGTTCATCCTGATAAACGAGAGCAGGACAAGGGGAATCTCTACGGGTCCTATGTCACTCGGTTTTGTTCTCTGCCTATGAATTGTTGTAAAACCCCTCAACCTACGAACGCTGAAGTAGCTCTCCGTGATCCCAGAAGCGGAGGGGGACAAAACGGAAAAAAGCACTTTCTCCATTGAGCTTCAGCTCAAGCCAGGAGCCCAGAGTCCGCCTACCTTCACTTCAGGATCAACTTGTCAAACAAAAAGAAGCAAAGGGGGAGGTCCGCTTTAGGTCCGTCTGATTTAGATGCGTAGTTAAACACCTCTCCAGCCACTGGGTCTCTAGCTCAAGGAATCCTTGACTGTCTTCCCGCTCTTCGGCTGCAAGTTTCAGGAAGTCCAGCTATTTAATGGAAACCCATTCTTTTTCTCCCAGGGCATTGTTCACCAGTTGTAGCTGGACTTCTGCCGCGAAAGGCAAAGCTGTTTTGCATCCTCTACCCGGCTTTCTTCATCAGTGGTTTAATGCACCTCTCAACCCTCTCTCTTTAATAAAAAGAACCGTCTTGTCGTCCAGATTATGGGCAACATTCTGAGTCTTGTAAAGCACGTGCCTTGAACTTCTGGTTGGGGGTCGTTATCTTCAGGCCAATGTTTGCTCAGTAACAAATTGATTGTTATTTGTTCATTTATTAAATTTATTTATTAAATTTGTTTTATTTATTATTTGTTTGCTTATTAAACAAATTGTTAATGGCGTGATTGGGCGCTGGGTTGTGTGTGTGTGTTTCTTAGTCAGTCTGGTTCTCCCAACTACAAGGGAGAAGGAGGATTCCCAGGGACTTGGTAATATTATACAATTATCTGCGATGAGCAGAGGTCTCTTTCCACACTTAGAAACTTCAGTGACCGAGGACGTCTTTAGAGACAAGTAGCCCTCTCTTAAGGATAAGGCCAGAACAAAGCCTGCGTGTTACCATGGGATTTCCTCCCAAACGACATCAGCACCACGAAGCTCGGAGATCAACTCTGTTGTAGACAAGAAGCAATATTGATCTTTGGCAGGATTCCCTGGGTGACAGTCTTGCTCCCTGCCCGGGAGTCTATTGCCTTGTCTCCATAAACCGGGATCTGAGAGGCTGAGCCAGCGTTTCCTATACATTATTCTGTCGCCAGTGCCAGCCTTCGGTTTCGCAAGGCTGTGTCCGCATTCTTGGGTCTTCTTGGGGCAGTTACTATATACCAGCAGTATCCCACTCTGAAGTTTTCCAGATGTGTGGAACGGCAGTTTCCATCTTGCCGAGGCCGCTGGAGCGGAAAGGTCGCTCGTACTTTTAAAACATTCTTTTACCTACCTTCCCCCCCTTTTCTTGAAAAAAACTCGGGATGGCTCCCCATCTTGTAATCAACTATTTCAAGCGGGTCCTTGTAGTTCAGCGCGCCACACCCTTTACCTTGTGTGTGGTACAGTCTCCTTTTTTGAGCGCTCAGCGCGCTTAGCGGTCCGCGTGTCAGCCACCACAACGAGAACCCTGTAAGGAAGGGCGGCCTTAGTACCCCAAACTATCATCACCCCCTCGTTTGCAACGCTTTCCTTTTAACTGCCACGTTGTACTAAGGAGCCAAAAGGAGCGGCTCACCCCCTTCACGGAGACACCGCCGACCTTCGAGACCAGAGTGGCCAACGCACCATCTTACTTGGCCAAATTCAGGATATTCTCTTGGATACCCTCTAAGCATCTCCCACCGGTGCGGGAACTGGCAGAAAGAAACCCTTCCAGTCGGGAGCCCGACCTAGCTGGGGAGGAAGGGAAGGCTGAAGCTAAAGCAACACCTTGTTGGTCTGTCCTCTCGGCGTGGCGCGCGGGAATGAATGAAGAGCTGTTGGGGGGGGGGGGTGTCTGCCAATCTTTTCAGACTTTGAGAATGGAAATTCGGGGAACCCCTCCCGCGCTGGAGAGGGCGCCAGGCAAGCGATCCCGGCGGAGGGAGCGCGCTGGGGGGGGGGGGCTGGCGGCTGGGGGCAGCGGTGTGGCTCCGCCCCCCGCGGTATCTGTCGTAAACCTGGCGCCGCCGGTCTAAAATAAACGCTAGCTAGAGAGAAAGGGAAGGGAGGGCTGGCGCGACGCCGCCACCTCCCCCTCCTCTTCGCCCCCTCTTCCTCCTCCTCCTCCTGCCGGGTTCCCGCGCAGCGGCGACGGCGCTCAGCCCCCTTTTTCTCTGGACTCGACAGCAGCGTCCGCCGGGCGATCGGGAAGGGAGCCCAGGGGCTGCCCGGCGAGCCATGTCGCTCAGCCCCAAGCACACGACTCCTTTCTCCGTCTCCGACATCCTGAGTCCTATGGAGGAGACCTACAAGAAGTTCGGCGCCATGGAGGGTAGTCTGGGTGCACCCTTGGGCGTGGGAGTGGGCGCCACCGCCTACCGCCAGACCTCGAGTTCAGCCCTCCCGTCCCAGCAGCAGCACCCCATGGCAGGCCACAATACTGCCGCCTACCACCCCATGGCCCACGCGGGGGTCTCGCAGTTCGCTCACGGTTCAATGGCTGGCTATTGCAACGGCGGGCTGGGCAACGTGGGCGACCTGGCGTCCTATCCAGACAGCGTGCGCAGCAGCACAGCAGCCTCCGGCTGGTATGGAGCCAACCCGGATCCCCGGTACCCCACGAGTAAGCGGGGAGGGGCGAGAGAGGGAGGGACTGGATCAGCTGGGGGGGTTCTCTTTGCCAGGGGTGGGGGGTGTGCGCTCTGAAGGGCGTCCCATATGAAGCTCTCTTTGGGATGATGCTCTTCCTCAAGTGTCTTTTTCCCAGGCCTGGGTGAGAAAATCCCAAGTTTCACAGTGGGAAAACGGAGAATTGTTGGGTGTGCTCAGGGATACTCTAGAATCCCAGGGCCGAATGGTGAGGGAAAGAGGGTCCTTTTCTGTCTTAGAGGGGAACCACTAATGTTAAAGTTATTTTAAAATGCCACTGGGTGATTATGACCTTCAGAGTGGCCTCTTCTCTGGTTTTTGGCCTTGGTGACAACTTCTTTTAACTTGTGCCCCGTGTGCTCAGTTTCCAGGCTGATGGGGCCCTCCGGGGCCATGAACATGGCCGGCATGGGAGCTCTGTCAGGAATCGCGGAGGCTGCCAAATCCATGGGCCCCGGTCTTCACGCCACTCCGCGGAGGAAAAGAAGGGTGCTTTTTTCGCAAGCCCAGGTCTACGAACTGGAGAGGCGCTTCAAGCAGCAGAAGTACCTGTCGGCGCCCGAGAGGGAGCACCTCGCCAGCCTCATCCACCTCACGCCCACCCAGGTGAAGATCTGGTTCCAGAACCACCGCTACAAGATGAAGCGGCAAGCCAAAGACAAGGCGGCTCAGCAGCTGCAACAGCCACCGCCGCCGGAGGGACCCGGCCTGTGCCAGCCGCCGGCCCCAACGCAAGCGGCGTCTCCGAGACGCGTGGCGGTGCCCGTCTTGGTCAAGGACGGCAAGCCCTGTCCGCACAGCGCAGCCGCCGCCGGCCAAGCCGCCGCCGGCCAAGCCGCTTCCGGCGCCGGCGGCAGCAATGGGGCAGGCGGGAGCGCCGCTCAGCACCAGCACCCGCAGACGCAAGGGACCTCGCTGGGCCAAGCCCCGGACCTGGAGGAGATGTCTCCGAGCCCGCCGTCCTTGCACGGCCAAGTGGGCTCCCTGGCGCAGATGGACGCGGCTGCTGTCGACTATAGCGGCGGCCTGGTCAATGCCAGCTTGCTCTATGGGCGGACATGGTAACAAGTCCTCCTCCTCCCCAGCGAATCGCGGAAGTGGCTCTTCTCCCCTCTAGTATTGGGTCCCGGATCGACAGCTCCCCTGGCTTCTTTCCTTCCCCTTCGGGGTTCAACCTCAGCAGAGGGTCTTCCCTGCTAAACTTGGGCATTGCGGAGGAAAAGGCGCCCGCCTCCTTCCGCTGCTCTGGCCACCCGAAGCCAGTAGACCCGGCGACCCACACGGGGCCTTCAATGGCCAAGAGTAAACAAAACAGGTGGAGAAAACGTTCATAGGTGCTCTGTACAGTAAGTCCCTCTCGACAGCTTCAGGGAAGAGGGGAAAGCCCCCGTTTCCTCCGAGGCCGTCCCCGAAGTGGTGGGGGTAACTCCAGACGTCGGTGGGAGCCAGGTTTCCCTGCGCACCTAAGCTGAAAAAGGCAACTAAAGAAGATCAACCGCCGCCTTGTGAAGTGCAGCTTACTTCTGGTGAACCAAACCGAACTACAAATAATGCCAATAATAATTTTACCTGGGAACCCCTTAAGTGCAATCTCATTATTACTGATTGAGAGCTGATTGAATTGTAACTCAAGGTCGACTGGCGAACATTATCCGCCATTTTCACAAAAGAGAAGGGGCGACGCTCGCAGAGAGGAGAAGGGAGGGGAGGAGACCTACTTGTACCGTTGTACCCGGTAATGATAATTTTTTTTAAAACAACAACAACAACAACATTGAATCTCGGGTTCACATTTAAGAGAGGAAAAAATAACAAAGAGGCTGTTGTTAAATATTATCTAGTAGGGGTTTGGTTATATTACTGGCAAACAACTGTATTGCAAACTACAATTCATTCCAATAAAAGGGAAACGGGCTAATGAAATGAAGATGAAATCCTCCGTAGCAAATATGTTGCCTCCCTGTGGATTTTTTTTTTTATCAAAGGTACAGTGCTGCAAGGAGTTTTCCTGCAGAAAGAGCACGAACAAACTTCGCGAAAGGGTGTACCTACCTCTAATTATTTTAAACTTTAATGCTTGTAAAAATGACTGAGTTGCTAAGTGATTTCTTAACCGAAGGAAAAGATAGATGTTGACAGGATGCAGAATCAGTAAAAATCTTTGAATTATTTAACTGGAAGTGTAGAAAACAAATCAAGAAAAAAAAGGAGGAATTAGCCAAAATGCAAACTGTGTGAGAAACTGAAGAGGAAACGGAAAACACTTTTGCATGAGTTTTTCTCAGATTGCATTCCTAAGAAACAGATTCTATGAATATAAATATCATACCACAAAAAGCTCAAATGGTGAGAATAGTTAGGCTGCTACCCTACACTCATTTATAGGAGAAATGAATCCTGGAAGGTTCACTTTGGGATGGTTAGGAAGATTGCTTTTTGGGAGGGGCTGTTTAAAATCCCATTTAATTCTGCAGGATACAAGCAGTCTCAATTATGTGCAAGATTGCAGCCACATTGCACCTTGATCTGGCCTCCAGCAATGTTGTCAGTCATTATATATTTTTATTATTGTTTATCTGGTTACGTTTTTTAAAAAATGAAGGTATTTCCTAATCCAGTTTCTATGACTGATTTGGTCTTAATTGTCAGAAAATTGGTGAATATAATTATTTGGTCTGGAACAACCAACAATATTTTTTCCTAGGGGAGCATGCAATTCCATTTGTTTTGAGATGTATATTTTAATACATGAAAAAAGGTTAGGCTGATCACTTTGACCACCTTGAAATGAATACAAATTGAATAAAGTAAAATCAGAATCAGGATCTACTCATGATTTAGTCGGGAAAGCAATTGGTGGAATTCATGCAAATATTAGGAGTATCAGGAATACTTTAACATTTTTAAACTTTAAAAAGGGCAGGGACAAGAAATTCTCCTATGGAAACTTCAATTAAGGGAGACACCAAAGATCAGAATTTCCTCCATTCCTGTGAAAGTCTGGGTTCCAGGTGTTTGGGGGCAGCCTGGTAATCCTTTAATATTTCAATATGTGAATCCTAATGGGAGCATTACCACAGCCCAAAGTATTTTTGATGCTGATTTAAATAGATTTTTCTTCTAGGTAAAGTCATTCAGCATAGGAACATAAAGAGAATAACTTCAGAACTGTTGTCCAGCTCCCATTTATTTCAAGTAAGTGAAGGAAAAATTCCCTTTGGAATGTGCCTTAGGGAACATGGAGTCCATGGAAACACAAGGCTAGAGGGTGCGGGTGGGAGGTTTGGTGAGACCCTGGTTCAGACGAGCTCAAAATTGGGGATAAACATTTTAGTTCAGAGTAGTGACGTTTACTTCCAAATATGCAGACAGCAGGAACCAGCTCCACTGAAATAACTTAGAAGAGGGCCACCAAAATTTTGGATGCATTTGTTTTATATTTTGTTTAAGTTTCTAAATAAAAGTATATGAGATAATATTCACCTGAGAGGAAGTTCCATTGTATTAAATGAGGTTTAACTTTGGAGTATATATGCTTAGGATTTCTCATTTAAAAATAGTGGATTTTAAAATATCATTCCCTGGATGGTGCTTTTTTTTGGGGGGGGGGGAGGAAATTGGATTGTTATCCTATTCAGAAGTAAAAGCAGTGGATCACAGCAGAACTCCATTCCTTGTAATTATTTTCAGGGTTGTGTAAAACTGGGGTTTCGGAACTAGTACAATTAATGGGAATTTGTAGTAGAACCAAATTATTTTAAGTTGGACTAATTTTATTGGAAAAGTTTAGGGTCCACATACAAAGTGATCAAATGCCTTACATGCCTCAATATCTTGAAGTTGGATAATCGAATGTCAATTCAGGAGGAATACTGTTCATAGAATTGCACCGGATTATACACTTTGAGGTTTGTTTGAAATAAATATGGGGCTGCCCTATTATCTGGGTAAAACTTTCTTTAAAAGAGAATCGCAGGCATCAGTTCTAAATAGCTTTAGTCTATAGTTCCAAGCACTTCTAGGAGAAAGACTGATTGGACTTAGTGGAATTTACTTCCGAGTAATCATGCTAAGATTGTAATCTAAATTTAATCCTCTATTTCTATATACTAGGGAGATACCCTTACTGGGTGCAACATGGTTTCTTTTCAACAGACACATGTAGGATTGTGCTGTAGTCCAATTATCTTCCATTGCCCTTATTTTGTTATTCTATTTATTATGTTGAATAAATGTTAGACAAAACTATTTAGCTATTTAATTAAGAACACCTCTGTATTTTCTTGTGTAGTAAGGAAGTCACACATTTCCTTCGGATCAACTCATCTACTTAACTTGTTGTGTTATGTGTTAAAGATGTGAGGTCTCCTCCCTCCCGTCTTTTTTTAACTATACTGTTCTTTAATAAAGAATAAATACCATTAAAAGAGGAGAGAGAAGACTAGGTGAAAAGAAACAGCAGGGAATATGTGCAAGGTGGTAAATATACAGGGCCTGGGCCATCAATTATTTTATCCATTAACTTCAAGACAGAAATTTGCAGAATTCATGTTAACGGCTTATTTGTCTACTTTTATGCTACTGCTTTGTATCATAATGTGCATTTGCCAAGAACTAAGTTCCTTGGAGATAGTTACTCCTGAGTAAGCACGAGTAAGCATGGATTTTATTTCCTACATATGGCTTAGTTGGCTTCAAACTCAGCTGTCTGTAGAACTCATTTCTAAATACTGCAATAGGGGATTGGATCGGGCTACATATGAACCTGGGAGCCTGTTCCTGAGCATTTTACCAAGTCAGATTCAGATTGTTTCCTTGGCAAAAACAGGTGAGAAGAGACAAGCAGATTAGCGCTCTGCTAAGGAAATGTTAAATTGTTCGAAGAGAAGTCCCATTGAACCCAAGTAATAGAAGAAGTGAGAATATAAATTGCAGCAGACCAAAGCTTGAAACAAGTCCCCTACCTCAGAAGAGACCTAAACTTAGCAAGGTGCGAGGTTTTCAAAATTGTAAGGTTTTCTCTGAAAGGAGTACTGTAACTCATTCACCCAATCTTATTGAAATAGACAGGCCAAAAATGATTGGAACCAAGAGTTTGCTTAGCAAGGAGGTGGTGCCGGTGGGCTAGGGCTGCTGGGCTCGGTGAACATTTGAGCAGCAAAATTTCACAACAGACAATAGAAAGAGTTTGAATGGTTTGAAGGTCTTTATGTAAAAAAAAAATTTCAAGGCTTTTTCCATTTCCAGAAATGAAGGAACGGAGATATCGAATAATTTTCTGGTGCCTAATATATTGCATCATGATGTAACATTTGGTAGACCCCCAAGCCATAAAAAAGCATCTTATTCCTACAATTTTTTTAAAAAAAATCAGAACAAGAAGCAGCTAGATGGAAAGGTGAGAAAATGGCGAAACGGATGCTTTTAAAAACAAAATCTTAGTTTTCAACAAAATAGTTTTAAGTTTATTCAAAATGACAATGGCTATTAAAGTAGCCCCACAATAGCTTTACAGTTTACGTGGGGGCTAAAAGTTTAATTTTAATCCTAGCCCTTTTGTACATCTTACCCAAAGAACCTGGAAGGCTTCTTAATGCCCAGGACGTGGACGCTGGATTGGGAGAGAGAGAGAGGGAAAGAGAGAGAAAGCTGTTTTGCACAAAGGCCCCCTCATTTCAGCAGCCCGGTATATGCCCGCCAATTTAACTACGCATCTGAAACCGATGAAGCCCAGAGGCAGAGTTTCTGGTGACTGGTAAAACCGGCATCAGAACCGAAGTCCCGTCCCTCATAGCAGCCGTTAGGCTGCCACTACTGAAATTAGTTCTGGCGTGGCCTCCACGCCTTTCTGTGCGTGTGTGTGAGTAAGTAAGCAAGCAAGCAAGCAAGCGAAACCTCGATAGCTACCTCCCCTAAGCCTTTCTTCCTAATTTGCTTTCAAACGTAAAGGCCCTTCTAATGAAAAGCAAAGCCGGCCCGTTGCGGAGAGCTGCGAGCACTTCTCCTTCTCACGAAGCCCAGGGAAAAGCTTTCCACCTATTCAGCTGCAGCATTTTTTCAGAGCG